TTTCTTTCGCTAGGAATTATAATAGAAACCATTTCATAAACTTTTACATTAAATTTCAGCATACATTTGATGACAAAGATACATCCTGCTAATTCTTGATTTTAGAAACTGTTAGCTTAATTTTGTCTTTTGAATGTGATTTTATTGGTCTATTATCCATCTGGACTCTTTGTTACAATTCTGACACCGTGTAGCTACATAATTTCGATACTTTTATGCATTTCTTCAATTTGATTGAAGGCTGAAATAATTAAAATTCTTTGACGGAGACATCAACTGAGTTTCACATTTTTTCCACTGGCTTATATTTATCGTTTACTACAAATTGGACTGAAGTTTCAATTTCACTGCCTGTTAGCAGAAAACCTTGATGGGGTCAAAATTATTCGTGGGCTCAACAAAGTCTACAAAGTGGAGTGCACTACGAAAAATCTAACACTTGGCCTTTTTAGTTCTTTTTCCAGTGGCTCTTTCAGCTTTCCTTTAATCGATGTGGAGTATATGTTAGTTTATCAATTATTTGGTACAGGTTATTGGTATTTAACTGTGTAGATTTGTCAATTTCTTCTGTTTGCTCATTTCTTTTATAAAATTATAGTCATTTTTAGTAAAGTGGAGTGCACTACGAAAAATCTAACACTTGGCCTTTTTAGTTCTTTTTACAGTGGCTCTTTCAGCTTTCCTTTAATCAATGTGGAGTATATGTTAGTTATCAATTATTTGGTACACGTTATTGGTATTTAACTCTGTACATTTGTCAATTTCTTCTGTTTGCTCATATTTTTTTATAAAATTATAGTCATTTTTAGTATTGTTTCTTGAAATTGCCTTGCTAAAATTGTCTCTTTTTTATAATCCATTTTAAAAATTTCTTAAATGAAGAATTATAAAAAAATTGCAATAAGATTTTTCGATCAAGAAAAAATTGTGGAGAAATAGATTTTTCAATAAAGGTATCATGAGAGCTAATGCTTTGACTTTCATGAAAGGTGGGAAAAGTGACTTCACAATTCTTGCTTACGGAACTTGCTCCTCCGTTTTGAAAAATTAAAATTATTTGTGTTTGTATATTTATAGTTAAACAACTGAAGATACTGTACTATCACTACTATGAGATTCTCTATTTTTCGTCCCTTGATCCCCTGTATTTTAAAAGAGGGGAAGAAGATGCTGGTTTTCTTTTATACAAGGATATCATACTTTTGTCTTCAATAGCTTCTATAAAGATTTTATCTCTGGCTTTATTAATTTTTGTTTTGTTAATGATCTGATGTGAATTGCAGCATATGAAATGAGAAAGAGGAAATCTAGATGTGTTGCAATATTAATAGGTGAGCATGTTCTATTGGAGATATCATTCTTTCTTTTTGCTTTTTTTTTTTTTATCTATTATAAAAAGATATGTCCATCTCAAGAGTGCAATGGACCCCAGTTAATCAGTGCTAAATGTTTAGGTTGCACGGACAATGTTGGAAATGGGGATGATTTTGAACTGGAAAGGAGTAAGTTTGTAGGTTTTAGTAGTTTAGTTGGTTATGTTAAAATGAATTTACTTCAGAAGCTATTTTGACAACTCATTCTTGAAACGCAATTTGGTAACTCATTTTATTGTAAATGGTTGTAGTTATAGTGTATCTTCGAAACCTCGATTTAGTGCAACAGAACAGGAAGTGGGTGTATCATATGACTATGAAAATAATCAATTTAAAACTGATGAAGTTGTCCCAAATGATGAGCATATTGAATTTTTCTTTTTTAAATCGTCACTGAAGAACCTAATTGTTTTTTTCTTCATATCTATTAAATCATACATGTTTAGTCTTATTTGTTGTGAGTCTGCCCGATTGCTCCTCTATTTTATTTTTTTTGTTTTTGTTTTTGTTTTTGTTTTTGTTTTTTCAAGATCAATCCTTATGGA